TCTCCTGGAGGACAAAGTATTTGGAGATAATGCCTTAACTGGAAGTCCTTTCCTGTCTTCCTTCCAGGTTGCCCAATTCCAGACGGGAAGAACATTCTTTCTTTTACAGCCTCCCAGGTGATTCCACTCATCAGCTGCTCCAGCCGCACGATGACTGCCATCACCTGCAGGAACAACTCGTTGGCCTCCATCGCCCAGTGATGGGAACCAAGGTGGGAGGCCCTGGCCTGGAAGCCAGGAGGGACCCCATGTTCCACACAGGTCAGTGAGCAAGAGAGCTTGGTGTGTGCTGCTGCTCTTCTTGTTTAGGTTCACCTTGAAGGGAAAGTGTTGTTCTAGGTAGGCTGGTGGAGGGCAGCGGAGATGACACGTAGTCTTTTACATAAAGCTGAGTTCTGATGTGCTGGCACTGCATCTTCATGCCACACCAGCCAGCCACGTGAAGGAGCCAGCTTAGCAGGTGGAACCATGAGACTGATCCAGATGAGGTCTGACAGAGGGAACTGGCCTGCTTGGGGGCAGGTACCCAGCCTGGGTGGGTGACACCAGAGCTGTGCAGTCAGCTGCTGCAGTGCCGTAGCCTACCAGCACTCCCATAGCCCAGCCAGCCAGTCAAATGAGTGCAGAGGCAGACGTGCATCTAAGTGCAGGACATCTGAAAGGTTAAATCAGTACATTCCCCAGAAGGCTGGTCTGCCAAAACCATTCTCTTGTTAGGAAAAGTAGGCCCTGTGGCATGAGGTGCCTCTGTGGGCCTGCTACCACAGAACAAGGGTGGGGAGAACCACGCACTGTATTGGTTCTTGTTCAGCTAAAGCAAAGGTGGTTTGGATGCAGTGGAGCTCATAGCTAGTGAGTGTCCCTTGCTATCCCCCAGCACCTTTCTGTGCTGGTCAAAGCTTTGCTTTCTTTGTCACTGGCTCTTGTTCGCCTTCTTTTCTAGGTGCCCCATGCTGCCTGGGCCTGGTGCCAGTTGAAGAAGTAGAAAGGACAGGCTGCTGCCAGACCAGAGGAGACCTACATGTCCAGAACCCAGCAATCACTTGCCTGACCCAGGACCCAAGAAGGCATCTGTGCAGCAGCCCTCCCGCACATATGCCCATAGAGACTCCTCCTCCCACCAGTTAGGGACTGAGCTGTGCTAAAGACTTATTCTAAAGAGAGAGAATATGGGTATTTATTTTTGTATAACATCCTTATTTATATATTTATGCACTTGTAAATAGATGTATATGTGCCTTTTATAATGCTATGGAGACAGAAGGCATCCTGTTCCAGGTAGCAGGAGGGAATGAGAAACTGGGGCATCAGCCTGGGGTGAGGTGGGGCTGTTCATCAGAACACAGACTAAAAAGAGCAGCCTTCACTCGGCACCGGCACGTTGGATGTTGCAGAATGTCAGTCCGAGCACAGTGGCGGCTTATTGTCGTCTTTGCAGCACAGACTGTGGCAGACTGAAAGTGGAGGCTATGGAAAAGGTCCCATCTCTTCCTACAGCAGGACGAGCTCCTGTGGGGATGTACCTGATAGAACAGATTGGAATTATGCACTGTACTTATTGCCACTCACAGCCCTTCACGTACACGCCGCCTGTGGTAGCGCATCTGTAAAGACAAACGCATGCTTTAACATCTACAATAAAGGCTTTAGTCTTTGCTGTGGTTTGATGTTTGCTGAACCCTTTCTAGTGGGGCAGGCAACAAGACTCCATTGGACTTGCTGCTTTTTTTGAGTCCCTGGGTGGTTCTTCTTAGTCCATGATTCAGCAGAAGTGATCTGGCCTAATCCCTGCTCCAGGTGAGGTCAGGCATTGGGGAAGTAAGATTGGGACCTTGAGCTGACTGAGGCAGGGAGTTCCCATCTTTAAATCCTTGGCTACAGCCACATAAGAACCCCCCCTGTTTCCTGTCTTTTCCCATTTTCCATAGTCCAGAGTCTGGGCCTGTAGATGAAGGCATTTCCTTTAGTGGGATATGAGAGTGTACCTTCCAGGAGAAGGCTGCTAGGATGCAAACAGGCAGTCCTAGAAACCTCTGCTTGGCGTGAGTGCCACAGCCTTTGGGATCTCTGCTGTTCATTTCCTCTTCCTGACTCCTGGGCTTTGCATTCATTAGGTGGGAATCTTCCCTGGTGCATGAAGGTTCCCAAAGTCTTTTTCCTTTCCCGGTGGCTGCCTTCCGGTTTTTTGTCCTTTTCCCTGGCTTTCCCTCCAAAGCAAGTGTGGGTCCACAAGGTTGATCTTGGTTCAGCTTATGCTTAACTCACAAATAACAGCAACATGGAAAAAATTTAAAAGAGGGGAAGAAAGAACTCATGGGGCATGCAGTTTACCTGGTTTAAAAAAGCCCTTGGTCTTGGATGGGCTATACCTGCCTCATGGTGAAACCTCACGACTGAGGGATCCTTGCACAGGAAGACGGAAGTAGTTCAGAGAACCACAATCCTGATCTACAGAAGGCAGAATAAAATGGCAGCCAGGTCAAAAGCTGCAGCTCTCTCTTCATACAGATTCCAGACCCCTGTGGTACTGAAAAGAAGCAGGCTTGCCCTGGACTCCTCTAAACAAGTTACTGCTCTTGTCTTTCATGTTTCTTCCCTCTCACTCCCCTCTACAGAATGAGCCTTTTGCCATCTAAGTGGGCAGCGTGCTCCCGCGGAGTGGGGCTGACCCATAAGCCTGAAAGGTTTCCCTGAACTGCCAGCACTTTATGATGGGCCTTTCTAAGAAGAACTGTTAACTAACTTCTAGGTATCAAAGCACCAAATTACAGCTCAGCAGAACAATTTTAAGAGGGTGATTCTCATGCATCAGAAATTAGTCCAGTAGTCATCTAGTCAACCACATCTTCACTAACATTGCTCAGTAACTCTGCCTGTATACACATACACATGCCCCTTTTAATTTTCTACTTAGAACTGCAATATTTGAAAACAAGAAAAATGAATGTAACTGATTGTATTTTACCACATTCTTTTCCTACTTACTACTTAACAATACCCCACTTCTGTGGATCATCCAACTAACTGTGCTTCTGTCTGTACAGCTGATGCAGTCAGCAAAGTCCTTCTTGCGTCTCTGTCAACACACCTGCTATATAAAGTCCTTTTAGCCCTTCTTTTCCAGATTTGAAAATAGAGGGTTAACATCTGCTCTCAGAGCTGCAGGTTAGACCAAGGCTCAATAAAATCCAAGGGCTGCAAGCTGAAGTCAGGAAAAAATCTCAGAAAAACAAGATGCACATTTTTTTAAGTAAGGATGATTAAGCATCAAAATGGCTTCCCATGGCACATGGCAAAGCCTCCATCCCTTGAAAACAGGATGGGATATATTTCCAAATATCACACTTCGGTGCAACTGCAAGCTGTGGAGTTGGATACAGGGTAAGTCTACAGCCTTCAATCAAGCAAGAGGCCAGATGGAGGTTCCCTTGATTCACATTTCAGCAATTTTACCCCCCTGGGTCCCACCTTTCTGGCCTCAAAAATCACCACATACAAAACCATCACAAAAGAGTGCAGAGTCCAGCCTGCTGCCAAATGTTTATTATCTACATTCTGATGCCAGCTTCAACACTGATTTCCCATGTGTAAAGCTCAGGTCGCCTCTCCCCATTCTTCCTCCATGGCCTTCTGCAAGACTGTGCAGTTAGAAACTGTTCCATGACGCTGAGCGAAAAGCGACAGAAAGCAAATTATGCATTAATGGGACAAGCCAATTTGTGGGAATGCCAGCCAGCAAGGGAAAAGGAAGTGACTAGGTAAGAAAAAGAGACTGAGCTCTTCTCTAGTGTAAGATAGTTGGGAGCCATGCACAGTTAGACACAGTACCAGCATGTGGCCATGGCTGGTAATACAGCATATTTCTTGGGTTGCCAACAGTGGGCCTCCCTGCCCATATCTGTTGAGTCCTGTAAGAGCAGGCCTGATTGTCACGAAGAACATAGTGTTAAAAGCCATGGAAGTACAGGAAGAGCCACTGTTGCAAGGATTCACATATTGTATGTGTGGGGACTGCACCTAATTTACCCTATGGCAGCCTTGGTGCAGCTTGCCTCATACTGTAGCCTTAGAAAGCACAGGATCCCATGCTTCATGCTCTTGCTGGCTTGACTGGAGGAAGAACATTGCATGCTGGGACCTGAAAGACTCAGGACCTTCTGTATTCAAACTGCCCTATCGAAGACTGGTAATGAGGCAGCCCAGATGGAGCCTGAATCCTGGAGTTCTGCTTTGACCAGCTGTGTTGTAATGGGATGGGTGCTGACTGCACACAGGCTTACACTAGCATCCAGGTTGGTAGGGACATGTAGAATGAATAAGGCTAGCGCCAGAGGGAGATTTAATTCAGCATGTCAGTGCTGGGGGGTGGTTGAGGTGGTGGGAAGATGCGCCCATCTTTTCTCCTTAAGAGAGTGATTTCTTCCTTCAGGACTTCTGCCTCTTGGGCCTGGAGCTGGACCAACATGATCAACCTCTCTCTGTCCTGGAGATCAGCTTTCTGGGGCCCCTGAAATTCAGCTCCCTGTTGGAAGAGGAAAAGGTGAGAGCTCCCTTTAAGCGCACGGGGAGACTGGACCCATTTTCTGAGGTCCCTTCCAGCCATGATGTCTATGAATCTATTAATCTATTTCAGGCGGGAGAGTGAAGCTGTCCATTTGCTAATCCAAGCAACAGGCCAAATTTATGCCTTTTCCACTGTCATCCTAACACAGAGGGAAGCCACTCAGCTAGTGAATGTTAATGTAGTCTCAGGCCTCTGATCAGGGTAGGAAAACCAAAAGGAAATCACATGCCTCATTTTTTCAGATCGCTCTGATTTACTGGAAGAGAAGCCTCATCCCTTTTAAGTAGATATAGGATGGTTTCATCATGATGAGTGAGCAAGGGAAATTTGGGCATGGCTGCTCCAGCAGGAACATGTGTGAGACCCATCTCACTGTCATAAGAAGTGGAGCTGCCAGTCAACTTTACCAGTGCGTGTTACTGACCAAGCCCATGGATGCCCACAGCAGAGCTGCAAGAGACCCGGTGGGAGTAAACTAATGCCCCCTCTTAGCACACAGCCCCCAGCCAGCAGCAGGCAGGGCTGCACAAAACCTTACCAGATTGCTCTGTAGTGTGTCCAGCTTGGTTTCGAGTCCCTGTCTTTCAAGGCAGAACCTGTTCATCTGCTGCAGCTTGCTGGTGTTTTCTTTCATCTTCATCATCAGACGTTGCCGCTGCTCCAAGATTTTTTCCTGGGGGACAGAGGGAAGGTGGAAATTGGTGAGGAAGAGAAGGGGAGGATCAAAAGGTTTGTATGGGGGGAGAAAGCAAGAAAGCAGGGGGATCTCATGCCTTGGAGGGTGCAGCAGGGTACACTTGAATCAGTTACAGCAGGGCTCAAGGAAAACAGTGAAGCTTTTCTGTCTTTAGATCCATGTAAATGGATTGGAATCTAGGTCCAAGAGTCTGGGACCTGCAGCTCAGGGTGTGCAAAGGGCAAGCTCAGGCCTGCAGCAGCTGGTGCCAAGAGAGCTGGATAGAAAAATGGAGCAATGTGTTCCTGTCAGGATTTCATTCTCATCACTCAGATCCACAGGGGGTTCCCAGGTCACCAGCAGGTGCCACAAGCTCAACATGGGGGTTGCAAGGATGTTTTTTGAATGTGGGAATTAGCATCATATGGCACCATCTCACAAGGGGCTCCTAGTTCATAATAAACCTGCTTCTGCTCCCAAAGTCAATAGCAGAAACCCCTAGGCCAGATCCAGATCCAAGCTACAACAATGCAGACAATAAGTAAAGCAGCCCAATGGAGCTGAGCCCAGAGACTTGCCTAAAGACAGTTTTGCAGTGGGTGTCAGTGAGAACAGGAGACAAAGGGGCAGGAAGCATCAGGTACATGCATTCAGGCTTTTGCTCTGGGAGAAATCCGAAACTCTGGACAAAGGACTTTAAAATAAAAATAAAAGCTAGGCAAAAATTGTGCATGTTTATCTGGGAGGTTTTCCACATTTCATGTCTCCAGTCAATCCTAAATTGGTTGCACATGTTTTCTATGTCTTTCATATTTCTAAAATGACAAGCAAGGCCCAGACATTCGGGGGATACTAGAACCTTGCTTTTTCACAAAACAGTAAGTGGGTCCTAGACAAGATAAACTCTGACATCTGAAGGCCAAGGGGTTAATAACGGAGACTGCGAGGGGGTTTCTTAGTCCAGGGGGTGGTTGCTATGGAATTAGTGGAAGCATCCTCCAAACAACTGTGCATTTTTAAAACTATCATTGTCTTGGGGTAGCACTTAGGAGCACAGAAAAGGCAACACTATGCCCCAAAGAACTTGCAATCAAAACTACAAGTGGGATTTTCAAAGGAAACTTAGGTGCTGGACTCTTAACTAAAAGCTGATGGGACCAATGTCCTACACCTACCCAAGTCTGAAAGGAAGGGACCCCACCCATAGAAAACATGGCAGTGTGGCAAGAGCCTCTACTACAAGGTACCATGTAGTTCGAGGATTGGGAGGAAAGGTTGAAAATCCTGGCATCACAGACTCTAATGCAGCTGTTTGGTCTCCAGGTTTCCTAACTGTAACTCGCTGGGGGAGTGCTCCACCCCTTTCTCTATGTCTTGCTCCTTACCTCCCACATTTTGAGTTCCTGGGCTTGCAACTGCTCTTTCTCCATAATTTTCACCTTCAGCTCTTCCAGGTTGGTGTTAATGGAGAGCGTCTGCAGTGCTTCCAAGTTAACCACTCGGCCAAACTTCATCATCATCAGCTGATTACAGTTTTCTCGCAGTCCTAATAGGAAAGTCCTTATATTAAGATGGACATGTCTTCTGGGCCCGCTGAACATTCATTTGTAAGCTTATAGGGTCCTTTCATCAGAGGATCTCAAGCACTTATTGCATTGTTCTAATTATAAGTCAAT